TGAATTCATCCACAACGCACTCATCGACACACACGCAGGGCGTGGCAGACAACCCAGGCTTGTACGTCCGCACCAACAGTTGAGGTCAAAGCAGGACATTATTTATTGTTGTTGTTGGCACACAGAGCACATACCCACACAAATCACTGCTGATTTCCATTCACCTTGCACTCTCGATTACAGGCACACAAACTTTAACGGCTGCATGCACACACACGCTACTCTAAAGAAATATATGTGCGTACTGAAAAAGTTTGCACAATAATAAGGACCTGCAACAAGAGATAGTCATGCAACAGATGCAGGTCCAAAAAAAAACTAAGAGCCTTAAAAATCCTTTTAGAACAATTAGAGAGTCTAATACTGTGTGCAAGTAAGTTGCCACTACTGTTTCATCCACAGCAAAGTCCATCAAATGTCGTTTTCTATTCCTGTTTTCAGCCATTCACACAAAGATAAATCATTTTATTAAAGACTTTTTTAAAGCAGCATTTCCAGTAATGAAAGATGCTGCACGATTATGATAACATAATGAGAGCTGCATAGTAACACACCGACTGCAGCACTTTACACTTCACAGAGAATGTGCACACATAAAACCCAAGTGAACTTTGCAATTAATATTTACCCACATCTAAGCTAATTCAAATATTTATATGCTCACAAAGCACTAAGGGGGCAGAGACATAAAAGAAAAATCACAGAAAAATTAAACAAGAACACACCTCACACAAATCCTCCTTCAAACACGCACACACACACTGTTCTGATAACGCTCTCCACAAAAAATCCAGGGGAACCAATTACAGCTCCACGCTCCTCACAACCCAGCTCTCAGTTTTAACTCTATGCCACCAGAGAGTGAAGACGGACTAGCTTCTCTTTTAAATAAAAGTCGACCTCTGGATGCTCAAGTCACTGATTCTGAGCAACGTCTGCAGTTCTGAATGCACACTGGTGGCGACGTCCTGAAAACATTATTTGGACCTACCAGAACCAGATCAGTTTCAGATTTTGGCAGAGTGTAACTGGCTTGTCAGTTCAGTTATACTTATATTTAAGATAGATAAAGAAAACAGAAGTTTCGCAATGTATCACGACATCTTACAAGGCTGCATAAGCTTTGAAAAAACAGTTGCAATGTTGAATATCGCCATGACAATAACAATTAAGGCCAACTTGAATTTTCCTGACTCTTTCATCATTAAAACTTCCCCTCCATATGTATGAGCTTTACAATCTCAGCCACTATGAATGTACATATGTTGTTTATCAAGGGCAGCTACAGACCATCCGACTGGTCAAACATATTCCTGGCATGCAGAGTGTGAACGCATCACACTTGAAATACGATAGCAAACCGAATACTGTATCAAAGCAGTCAGAAAGAGTCAGAAAGGTTTTAACCGAATATACTGTGCCTCTTGCCTCCTCCGCTGACGACATGTGATGATCTGGACTCAGTGCATATAGAACTAATCATGCAAACACATCTCAGCATAAGCTTTACGTTTTAATAGTTTCGTCACAGCCTGAGGCTTGTAAAGATGCATTCAGCTTACAAGATGAAAAGAACAATGACAAGGAGCTCAAATATATATATATATATATATATATATATATATATATATATATATATTTATTTATTTTTATTTTTTTTTCTGAAAATTAAGAAGCCTTTGTTTTGTTTTGTTTTTATTGACATAATACATTTTAAACTCTGTTTAGGTCTTGTAGAAAACACAATTAAACCTGGGCATCCACCTGCTCAAACATAGCATCCAGGTGTGATTAAATCACTAACCATTGAATTGTTGGCTCTAAATAATTAATTTATTTAACCATGATACGTTATTCAGCAAAGTCACAAGCTAATAGTAATTATAAAGAACCATAGGCTGTTGACAAGTGGAAATAATCTAATATTTTCAACATGAGAGCTTAGATTTGTTCAAGAATTATGTTATTTTATGGAAGTTGTTTACTCCATAATGCAAACTTGTTTAACAAACCAGAAAGTCTCCTAATCTGATAAAGACCATTAAGTGCTACATTCACATAAATCTTATATAGATGCACAATACTAGCAGAGCAACTGAAAGAGTTTAAATATGAAGCTGATATTTTATAAAGCTTGTTGCCAATGTTACACAAAATTTTTGTTTCTCAGACTTTATGTTTTAACGTTATAAGTGTTGAAAGTGTGACCTCTAACGTGTCAATGCGTGAACACAGTGGTAGTGCGAGGATTTAAATAATTTTAGTGAGTTATGGAATGGCTCTGTTGGTTTTTGGTTGACTTAAGGAATGAAAAACACCTTTAAAGGCAAACTGTAAAAACACAAAGAGTTATAAAATGTGCTTGTTAATGGGATCCTGGGAGGTCAAGTTCACTGTTTGCATGTAACCATCTAATTGTCTATGACCATAATTGGAAAGAGACAGAAAGAAATAACAGAGAGCTCAGAAAATTAGAAGGCAAGAGAAACATCAGTACCATAATTTTAAAGTGACTTAAATTGATAATTTACTGCATTTATACTTGCGCATAGCAATTTGTATGAAAAAATGAACTAACACAAATATGTTCTCTGCTTCTTTACATCTATCTGCAGGTTATATTTCATGGAAACACAATAAAAAAAAGACAACTGCAGAAAAAGTTGGGAGAAAAAACCCAATGAAGAAATACAAAGTAGGGACAGAAAGGGAGAGATGGGGGTCTATCGATCTGTTGGAGTTGGCTCAGTCTGAGACTGAACTTTATCACAAACACAGAGCATCTCAGCAGGAAGCTCTCTAAAGGGGAGAACAGAGGAATGTTCACACACCTTTCTTCATTCATTTTCATTTCACTTTCCACCTCCAGCAGTGCTTTTTGAAGGAATTCTTTCCATCTTTTATTATTTTTTTTTTTACTCTTTTCTTGGCTCTTACACATTTTGCTTTCTTGCTTTGTTTTCCACCTCTCCTAGTTTCCCTGCAACTTTTCCAGCAGCTGGCTTATTAGCATTCTCTCTGTACATATAATTGATTCCTCATGCCGTCCTCTTGTGAAAATGTCATTCATAATTCTATGTGATAGCTGGCTGGCTGGCTTATTGGTTTGCTGTTTGGCTGGCTGGCTGTGAGGCAAAGTGGCCAGTGACCCATTTGTAGCAGATACAAAGAGACTGACAACCAAATCTGATTATAGCAGCAAGATCAAGGCCTCTGTAAAACAACTGGCCTACGCTACACTCAGTCTAAGCTGTAACTCATCTTCTGTGACTTTTTGACTTTCTAACCTATATTATTCCATATCATTAAGGTCTTTTTGTTGTTTGAGGGCCAAGATGAAGAAGGGAACGGGCTTTACAGATGTATCGCTGTTGAAGTATGTATGCAGTGTCCTGAAAATGTGCTGCCCCCTTCCTCTGACACCAATAAATAGAGTCCAATGCAACAAACTGCATCAGGAACGCAGCAGGTCTCTATAGTAAAACACAAGAGAAGCCTCATAATGGTGCAGTAACGCTCTTTTCCTAATGGAGGCTGCAAAAGATCCAAGAAAGAGGTGGAGGATCACCTTCCAGCAAGATCATAATCCTAAACTTGCAGCCAGAGCTGCAGTGGAATGGTTCAGATCAAATCATAGTCAAGCATTAGAGCAGCTCAGTTCAAGTTTATACCTAAACTCAACAGAATATGTGGCTAGACATGAAAAATGATATTCAGATTTGCCCTGCCAATCTAACTGGGTTTGATTTTGAGCAATTCCAGCCTGTAGATGTGAAGTACAGACACAACCCAAGAGATTTTTGGTTTTAATTGCAGAGAAAGGTGGTCCTATAAAGTGCTGACCCGTAGAGCTGAATACAACTGTGTGCAAAATTTCTCTGAATTTTATCAGTGAAAAAATTTTAAACCATAAATCATTTACATTCCACTATCTGCCAGAAGTTCAAGAGGAAACAGCACTTTTGCAAGTCCTGCATATTCAAAATCATCTAAAGGTATATAGGTCTGTACAATTATAGGAAAATATGCAAGAGCACTATTGGGATAATGATATCACTTCAAATGAAATAAAACTGCCCTCAATTTAATAAATGTTTCCCCTCGTTCTCAACCTATCCTCACTATTTTCCATGAGATTAACCCATTTGGCCACTAAAAACTATATATATCAGGGTTTGTGCGTCAAGGGCAGTGAAAGTCCATCCAATGGAACAAACATAACGTTGACTCGTAGAGCATTCATGCATGTCACTGGAAATGTAATGGCCTACCAAATAACCAATTGTGGTGTTGCACACATTGCTATTAGGCTGACTGCAGATCAGAAATGTTTTGCAACTCAAAAGACAATGGAAATCAACTGATGAAACACTGCTGGACGGGTCCTACACACATGCACAGATACGTTACTGCAGCCAGATGTGCTGTGACACGCATCTTCACAAACACACACTTCCAGGCTGAAACATACGCAGAGATGAATAAACAATAATTAGCACATGGATAAAAACACGCAACCCGAGAAGAGCAGGTTTAGTTGTATACCACCTATGCAGCCAATCAACGACAAGATCCCAGAGAGACCTGGCTGTGGCTGACAGAGAGGGAGGTGTCATGAGTGTGTGGGGGTGTGTGCGTGTGCGAGAGAGAGTGTGTGCGCATATCGGGAAAACTCTCAGCCCAAACACCCGATGTCTCTCTCCTCATGTTACAGTGCAGTCAATTTAACTACACAAGTGAGTCAGGCTGAAACAAACAGAAAGACTGTGAGATGCAGACATGGTGAGGTCAATAATCCAAAAGCAGGAGGAAAACCCAGCAAGGAAGTTTTTAAGTAGAGAGGTTTGAGGTGATTTTAGTGTGGAAGCACGAAAATCCAAGAGGGGCAATGGTGATAAAAGCGAATGTGACAAATTAAAAGCCACAGACGGATTGGAGCTGAGAAAGACACTCACAAAAAGTGGAGCAGACAGGAAATAGAGACATGAGGGTGAACTTACCGGATGCCTGCCCTGAGGGTACATGATCCCAGGAGAGGAGAGGCTTCCAGTCCGTTTGATGGCCAGGTTACTCCCCTGGCCCTCCAGTCCTCTGCCCTCCACCTGGTTACACCGACCCACACACAGTCACACACAAACCCAGACTCTCAAACACTCGGTGAGAACTGTCCCTGCTCCTTCGCTGGGTTCTCTCGTCCTTGTTGCTCTCTGTCCTTATCTTCTAACGCAAATTCCCACTGACACTCAGCGGAAGAACCCTCGCTCCGTCGGCTCGTTCATCCAACAGGGTCATGATAAAACGGAGCACCAGACTTTGCCTCCTTCTTCCTCCTTTGCCTTTCCCTAGTGAAACCCAAGTCAGTTTCTCCTCCTCTTTCTCTCCTCCTCGTCTGCCTTACAGTGTCTGTCCCCCTTTTTTTTCTCAGCTTGTGATCAGTCCAGGTCCACACGTACTGACATGAGAGAGAGAATTCAGTCCATGCAAGCTCCTCTCTTACACTTCTCCTCCTCCTCTTCCCACTCTTCTTGTGGCTTGTCCTTGCGCCCTTTCACCCAGCAGTCCAATGGCAAAACACACAAACATAAACACTCAGCTGAACCAAATAGTCCCCTTCTCTTATTTTTCCTCCTCTTCACCCTGTCTCTCTGACACACTAAAGCCTTGACTGCTGCAGCAGAAATAAGGAGAGGAAGAAAGAGGAGGAGGAGGAGGTTTGGGGTAGGGAGGAGAGAGTGAGAGCTTTGTTTTTAATCTAAATGTGGAAAAAAAAAAACGCAAGAGGAAAGCAGGAAAGAACAGCAGGTCAGTGGAGGATCCAGCGGGCTTTTCAGCAGCAAGCCCTAGACTGTAATATATTGTGCCTGTTGGCTTCAACACAAACAGGACAGGCTGCTAAAGCTTCTCTTAAGGTGGAACCGAGTAGATAGAGACACACAGTCACACACACACACACACACAGAGAGAGAGAGAGGATGGAGAGAGAGAGGAGGCGAGAGATGGATTCATTTTCAATTGTGGTCAGATACACAAAGCAATCAGTCAAGCACAAAGACTCGGGCTCAAACAGATATGGATCGAGATACAAACACACAAATGCTCAGACGTGCATATGCAAATTCATGACAGCTAAGGAAGCGCACACACACACACACACACACGTAGACATAACAGTCAGGCAGAGTGATAAGTTTATTAGTCAGTTCACACCTTGCAAGAACATTTGTGTGAGATGATCGGACTGTAATCCAGTCATGCTTAATTGCACAGTAATCCAGCCAAAACCCATTCAGGTTGCACCAAAGACTGCTGGTGAAATGATCTCTCAAATCTGATCTCCATTGGATTACACAGATTTTTTTAACTTTTTCACATTCAGTCATCAGAACCACAAACTTCAATGTACTTTAACTGGGATTTTAGGAAGCAAACCAACAAAGGCGGTCACCCAACTGACAAGTTTTAGAAAAAAAAAAAAAACGGCTTTTAGTGTTTTGTTCATGAATAAGAATATGTAAAAGCTGAGGTCTGGACTTGTGACTTGTGATCCACCTGTACAATAAATCATGCAGGAGACACAGCAATCATCCAATCATCATTTAGAGTAAAATTAATTTTTCTGGCTTGTGGTCAAAACTACGTATGTGGCAGAAAAATAGCTCCTCAAAATACCAACCCTACAAGGAAACAGAGGCAGCATCATGATGGGGATTATTTTCTTCAGGATTGACATGCAGGTAATCAGAGTTATGTAATTTATTTCTTCTGGCTTCCGCCCTGTATCAATAGAAACAGAGAAGATGAGGGCACCAGTATTCATACCAGCGGAAGTGGGAAAAGATAATATTGCTTACCAACCAAAGACTTGCCCAAGCCTCAAACTGACAGAAACAACTCAAACAACAATAATTTCCAGTTTTATCTGTTTTTAGTACAGCTGGCATTTAATCCTTGAAAAATTCTTTTCAAACCTTTTCAAGCTGTTTTTTTATTTTTATTTTTAAAAAATAGAAGCTGTCAAACTAATTTTAACATCTATCAGGGGAATGTGCCACCAACAGACACTTTAACAAAGAAATGCTATAAAAAAATGTGGACAGAGATATGACTTTTAGGTCCAAGCATTGTGAGCGGATATTTGTCATCACTGTAAGTGCTGCAATGGAGGAATGCCTGTTTACTGCCAGGGATGTAATCAGAATCAGTAGGTCGAGTATCTCAAGGATTACTGCTGTAACACTCCAGAAATATCTCCGCCACAGCAGGATAAAAATGTCTGCCTGCCTGCTTCTGAGTGCTGGATCTGAAGCAAATGTTATTTACAGGAGCTCCCAGAATGGACCTGAACCTACTAAGACCTGATATTTAAAGACTTTCCTCGTACACAACACCGGGCTGTCCCAGACATCTTTTGGCACTGCTTATAATTAGTTTATCCAGGGCAGCTCTGCCTTTGAACTTGATCAGACAGCCATTAATCCGACACCGTAGACTCAGGCGCAGTCGGTCCTGGCATCCGTGGAGGATTTCCAGTAAGACAGAAACTGCATTTGATAACTAGAGGGTGAGGCAAAGGACAGGTCCAAAGCCTCAATTAGGGACACATACAGACATCCTATTATACCCAACACAACAGTTCATTTTGGGAGAGCCTAATGTCTTTTTGATCCAAATCCGCCCTGAAAGTCACTGTCAAGTTCGCTCTGTTGTTTCTGATATTAGGCTTATGTGTGTAAAAGTGTTTTTGTTCTGCATATATTTTGAGTAAGAGGGTAATTATTGAAATACGTTGCTTTGATATTCAAAATCAAACTTTAAAAGCAGCTTGTTGGTGGGTGTTTTTTGGGGGGCTTTGGGTATTTTGAGGACATGTTCTGAAAACAACTATTACTTTATCTTTTTGAAGAAATTGGATCCCATACCATATCTGTATACAGGTTTGAAATAATTAGAAATCTAACTTTCAGAAAGAAAACTCTTTTAAAACAAGAAAAGTATTTGGAAATCGAAACAAATCTAACAAAGAAGGCTATGATGAATAGAAAATATTGGGAAGGTATTCAGAGAAATGTTTTAAACTGCTGACATCAATAATGTCTCTTGGCCATGTTCTGTGTGGCAAAAGGTATTTTCTCACCTTTTTAACAAACCAGAATTTAGATTAACTCTAGTTTCATTTAACTTCTTTTGGGCAATTGTCACAAAATTGCTTCCAGACTTAATGTAGCGAAAAACTCTGTTCATGGATATACAACACATGCCAGGGATTATAATGGAAATACTTTGCTGCTCTCTAGTGGTCAAAGTGTGAATGACATTTGTCTCTGCTTTTACAGAAATAAACTATCTAAAATACTGTGGTGATGTATGTGAAGGCTTTATTGAGAAACATCAGCATCAATAAAAGAATCCACTCCTCACTGGACAATATGTTCAATTTTGTCCAAATGTCATTCATTTACAATCACACCTACATTGATTGTAAACCTATTGTATGAGCGTTATTTAAATTAAAATATTCTACATAATCCAGCATCTGCTCAACAGTCAAAACAAAATAAACTCAGGCATTAAGGGGTCAATCAGCAGTGAAGCAAATGAACAGTGAATTTGGGATCCAGCATGTACAAAGCAAACTGTAACCCTTGAATTAGCAAGTCTGCTTTGCGTATGCCATCATCAACCATCAACACACCTAAAATCCATTTGAAGCTGTTATTACGGGACACTAAAGGCACAACAGCTTATTACAGATTCAGCAGGAAGCTCACAGGTTGAAACTAGCAACACAGATCGTGGTCTCAAGAATCTCAAGAATCCACTTCCCAAAGCTGCTCAGTTTTGAAAAAGGAACCCTCTGACTCTAAACGTCACTTTGTTGTGACAAATCAAACTTGTGTATCTTAACATTTGTTTTCTGCTGTATGAGGGGAGAAGATTACCAGCCGATAAAGATTTTCTGTTCCTACTACCATTTTACAACAAAACTTTATGCCTGGCTATTCAATTTGAATGCCAAGAAACAAAAACACCCACACATTCGACTCTGTAAGCAACCAAGAGCAAACACCTCCACCCTCATTCATCACAGGCTAGGTGACACACTGCTGACCAAGGAGTCCCTTCTGATCGCTATAGGCATCTCCTCTTGCTGTTTACAAGTCAGATGATGCAGCAGTAGTTGCTCCCCTTGAAAACCAATTTGGAGCATTTGAACAAAGTTACTGAGTCGCTAACTGTCAGAAACAGTGAAACATAATTTTGCTTTAATGATAATTGTACCCTGACATCAACTTACCAAAATATTTCAAATCAAAATAAACTACTATCCCCGTCTAGAATATTGTAAGCTTTACACTATGTCTTATTTTGAAGTAAGCAAGAAGTAGTTTTGAAGTAGGTGCTTGATTTTATGATAAATTGGACCGGCTGACAACATTTAGTCAAACAAGCATCGAAGAACCAATTAAAAGCAATTGTGTGGTAGCATTTTCAGTAATTTAACCGAATCTAAACTTTGAATCATTAGAATCAGATTTATGACATATGTTGTATATTTTCTGTGCAAGAATAACTAAAAAAATAAAATAAAATTGTGTTCCAAAATGCAGTAACAAGTTTGCACTGGAAATTAAACAGAATGAAAAAGCAGCCAAGGTGAAAATCTTACCCAGCAAACAGCAACCCTCTCTCCAAAATCAACATGTGTAAATACCCTTCCATCCTAATTAATCTCACACAAAACAAGCATCCTCTTTTATAGTTCCTGCATTGCTGGAGGTCAGACATTGAAAAGACTCAGAAGATTGAACTTCAAAAAGAAAGACACAATCCAGCCAGCATTCAAACCAAGAGACGTCTTGCTGGGAGGCAACAGTGAAAACGTTACAAACCACTTGGCAGATTGCCACTAAACGTAGTGAGGAAATTTCTACCTCCCCGATGATGAATGACAGCCATCCTTTCTTTATACTTTCTCCTTTGTCTTCCCTTTGAGTGTGTCTAACATATTTAAAATAGACAGCCGTTCAATGATGCTCCAAAAACCACAAACACCACAACCGTTCCCCATGTAGCTCTTTGCGCTAATCAGTATTATCTAATTGTCTAGAATGGATTATGCAGGTAATTATTCCCCCGACTCTTTACACCGGGTTTCAGAGAGGCAGATGGGCAGGCAAACAAACTCAGACCGATCCATCAGCACAGTTGTGATAAGACGCAGGTTCAAAGCCAGGATTTAGATTTCCTGAAAATCACCAACAATGCTGCACCGCTCTTTAACATGAATCCATGGCAACGTGGATTGGATCATTGAGCTGTGGTTGATAATATGAACACACAAGCAGGAACAAGGTGGAAGGTAACACTGCCAGACATACTGAGCAAAGAAAAAAAAATAAGAAGCATAATTTCATGTATGAATAGTGATATGCTATAGTAGCTAACTTTGACCAGGCATCAATTGCCAATTGAGGATCTTTTATAACAACTTTGCAGAAAGACAATCTAAGGTCATTCTTGATAATATCCTAGTTCGCTGTAAGGACAAGGTGACTCCAAAGACCAATATCTACCAGCAGGAGGTTTTTCTGGTTTGATCAAAGTTGCCTGACCCAAACGGAGTTCAGAAAAGCAATCAATGGACACAGGACTATATCCAAAATCTTCAGAAAATAATAGACAACAGGAGACAAACACACATGAAAAAACATTTTAAGGTAATTTTAAGCTTCATGTGATATGTCTCTTCAGAGGCTCTTTCTGACTAATTAGCCAGCTGGTATCTGCTTGATATTTTACTCAAAAAGCAAAACGACAACAAATGGGAAAAAGCTCTTAAAAGCTGAAAAGTGATCATGTTTTTACTGTATAATGCAAATCCTCCTCGTTGCTAAGTCATAGA